CGACCATGGTTCAAGTCCAGGACCCGGTGGCTTAAAACTCCTGCTGGGCGCCTGTGCGTGCGTCCCAGTCCCCACAACTTAAAGAAGCTCCTGCCACATTGTGTACTATAGAGATGTACAACAATTAAATGTAAACAAGACATCATTAAAAAAAAATTAGTGTAGAAAAAAAGATCCTGAAGTATTTTTTTTTCAACAGCACAAATGCAGACAACCCCTCTGGGACACCCCCATTGGGTAACCTAGTTTTGGGCTTTTGCTCAGAGGCTTCTTTTTTTTTTTTTTTTTTTGGAGAGGTTTTTCGCTATAGGGCGCGTGCGCTCACCAGACAGACAGAGAGAGACATAGAGACAGAAAACGAGAAATCACCCCCCAGGGGGGATGGTCACGCCGCAATCCCTTCTCCTCCAGTCTCCTCTCAGGATCTTGGGCACGCATGCACACGTGCCTGGCGTGAATTTTAAGCCACCGGGTCCGGGACACGAACTGTGGTCAACTATGTGGGAGTCCAGCGACATAGCCATTACGCTAACTGCTGGTACCCGCTCACTGGCTTCTTTTTAAAATTTATTTATTTTAATTAAAAAAAATTTTACTATTTATTTTTTATTTTATTCCATTTGTTATTATTTTTTTAATTTGACCAGACAGAAGCAGAGAGAAAGCAAGAAAGCAAACTGCCAGGTCTCAGACTTGAGCCACTGTCAGCGGTATGGGAATCCAGCACCCTTAGCCACCACACCACCTGCCAGCCTCTCTGCTCACACACGTCTAAGGACAGGTGCTCATTCTCTGGGACACTCTCACTCTGAGGCTGGACAGCCTCTGCGGAATGGCGGGTCAGACCCAGGTCCTGCCTCCACAGCTAGAGGGTGGAGACCAGGAGCCAACCGGAGCTAAAATGTTTATACATTAAGCAATTATTCTTTGAGTCCTCTCTACTAGCCAGAGATAGGCACTGCGAATCCTGAGATTCCGTGTCACAGTGTTTGCTGAGTGTGTCCAGGCACTGTGCTCAGTGCTGGGGAGACATGTTACACCAGGAAACACACCAGTCAGGTGAGGGGGCAAGACTCACAGAAAGGAGTGACTTCAGATGTGGAGGATGTCAAAGAGGTCCTCATGGAAAAAAGGGACGTTTCAAGCAAACCTTGGAGGAGCAGTCTGAGTTCACCTCCAACGACGGGCAAATATTTAGAAAGGAAAGAATGGCCAGGGTAGGGGGAAGAGCGCGGGGAGGAGGCGCTGATGGGGATGAGCTGGCTACTAGGAAGTGACAGGAGGCCTGGAGCAGGTGAGGCTGAGCGGTAGGAAGGGCAAGTTGTCCGGTCTTCAAGTCCAAGTGAAGAATTCTTTTAAGAGCTTTCAGAACCATAAGAGGTTTAAACAGGTTCCGCTTGAATGACTAAAGGTCTCCAGGGGCTCGGGCTGGCAGTAAAGGAACTGGGAGGGGAAATACAAGTAGAGATAGTTCTTTATTAGGTGTTATTTTAGATGTTATTTTATGATCCCTTATTTACATTTAATCATTGTACGTCTTTACAGCATACACTATGGTTTTTCTTTCCTTTTTCCCTTGATTCCCTGCCCCCATGGCCCATCACCCTCCCAAGCTGTGTATGTCGGCGCTTAGACACCGAAGGTCTGCACTCCAGGCCAGAAACTGAGAATGCTTTTATTTCTGTTCTCTAAACACTCTTCTGGAACCCTGTTCTCTCTAACTGTGGTCTCTGCATGGATTGCCTTCCCCATGCTGTAGTTCTGCCCAGTCGATGACCCACCTTTTTCCCTTGGGGTAGATCACCTTCTCCAGTGCACCTTCCTTAACAATTTAGTTATCCGTGCTGCCCGACAGCACAGCCCTGAGCCATGGTCGCAACTCCCAGTACCAGGGATTATTTCCCTTCCTCCAAACCACCCCTGGGGAGAGGTGGAAGTGGGGAGCTGGAGGGAGAGCCAAGTGGCAAAATCTCCAGCTGCAAACTGGCCTCCTGCCCTACCCAACTGTCTGGGATGGGAGCTAGATGCTGCCACCTGCTGTCAACCAGAGGAATAGCAGACAAGTAGGGTGGGGAGGAAGACTACCAGAAAGCTAGCCAGGCCCACCTTGGCTTTTCTGAAGGGGTGATTGCACAGGTCTGGTTCCACGGAGGCCTGTCTAAGGGGCCTGATGACTCCAGGTGGCAGAGCTGGGCTGGGAACAGAAAGGAGGAACTGAGTGCCATGGAACAACTAGCTGCTCAGGTTACAGGGTCCAGCCCAGTGGGCTGGCGGAGGCTCCAGGCCGGAGCCTGGGTCTGAGCCAGACCAGCGGGGGGCCCACCTTGTTGCCATGAGGGCCCCCAGCTGAGTCCATACAGCTGGAGAGATGACCCCTTCATCCTGTGAGGACCTCCGGGGAGAAGGGATCAGAATCAGAGCCAAGTGTCCACCCCCCTTTCCGGAACAACTTGTTTTGCTCTAAAGCTTGGGACTTTGACCCAGGAGGTGTGTTTTCCTCTTGTTAGTCACCTGGTGTCCTTCCTGCTCCTCTCCCTCTCCCAGCACCCCTGCATATGGCCCAGCATCCTGGCCTTGACTCAGGCCCTTTGGGGAGGTGGGGGATGCTCCAGCAAGGAAGGAAGAGCCTGGGACTTGGGGGCTGATGGCAGAGACTGGGCGGCTCCAGGGGTGCTGGCTGGGGAGAGGGGCACAGCAGTGACTTCCCGCCCACCTCTTCTGGGAGCCCTCCTTCTTTGATTTCAGGGACAATCCACTCTCCGGGGGTTCTTCTGTTCCAACTTGTGTTAGGCTACACCCTGTCCCTCACTACCCTCCTTCCTCAGCTGTCCTCTCCACATGCACGCGTGCACCCCTGCCTCGGTCACCACCACTGCACCGCACACGGCACCCAAGTCTGGTTCACTACTCCAGCACGGGGATCCCTCTGCCTTCCAGAAGCCTCCCTCTGGAGGGCCCACAGGCACCATAAACTCTGTACTGTCTAAGCCAGTAGTTCATTAACCCCTCCCCCTCCCCCCAGAAAAACTTGCTCTGGCCCCTTCTGAGGTGCCACCACCCACACACAGCTGCCCGATCCCAGGTCTGGAGTCACCCTCTCTCCTTGTCCCCCCACTTCCAGCTCATCATTGTGTTCAGGCAGCCACGCCCTGGCTTCTCCACCTGCAGAACAGACCCAAACCCATCTCCACTGCCACGCCCGCTGCAGGCCACCTCACTGGTTGTGTGGCTCCTGCAGTGGCCTCACCGTGGCCTCACTTCTCCAGCCTTCCATTTCCTCATGGAGCCCAGAGGTGTTTTCTTAAAGGCAAAACTGACCACAGACCGACTCCTCTACGACTCCCCTACGTAAGGCCCCTACAGAAGCGTAAGTCTGTGGATGTTTGTCAGAGTTAGCCCGTTCCTTACATTCCAGCCTGCAGCTCCCTGGCTGTTCATTAACACGCGCAGTGCTGCTTCCAGGCTTTGTGCCAGATTTGGGGACACCACGGGGAACAGGGAGGGAGAAGAGAGAGGCACGGGTAGGAGACACTGCTTGGTGCCTACAAGTTCCCCTAGGTCACCATGAGACACTTCATCTTTGGATGGCAGTGGGTCCTACTGCACATACACACCCACACACGCACACACACACCACATACACACAGGAAGCAGGCACAAGGTGTGATTCTGAGAGCCCTTCGGCAGAACCATTGCACAAAGGAGAGGGCTGTGTAGGAGCCCTGTGAACAGCAGGGGGTGGTGTTGGAGGCAGGGAGGCGGGGAGGCGGGGAGGCGGGGAGGCAGGGAAGGGGCTCCTGCTCAGGGACCTTCCCTCTCTGAGACTGCTTCCAGTCTACCACCTTTTCTTCCTATGGAGCCAGACTCAGCATCTTGACTTCTTGTACTACTGAGATGGGGTGGGGTGAGGAGACCCAGCATGACCCTTGATCCTCGGCTTCAGTAGGTCCTTGGGTTCTCCTCAGTCCCTGAGCTTGAAGGGCTGAGTGGGCACCATGTAATCCTGGGTCGAGGCGGGGGATTTCTGCCCCTTCTGAGGAGTTTGGCTATCGGGCCTCCCAGTTCTGGAGTAAGCCCTCTGCAAGCCTACTCCCAACTATTAGGGATCCTGGCTCCAGAGTGGACCTTACCCCCTGGGGGTGTCTTTTTCTTGCCCTCCACAGTGGGGCTGTGTTTACTCACTTTCTGATCCTATGATGGGTGAAGACGAATCCTAGGGTAGTGTTGAGGCCTCTGACCAAGCCCAGGCTTTGTTTGAGGGAGGCCCTGCCTGCTTTCCATCTGGGGCCAAGAGGAAGAGCCCAACTTGGTCCAAGTCAGCTGGGCTGGTAGGGATTTTGTCCTGGGCCGAGAAAGCCTGGGAGCTGAGGCCCACAGGACCTCTGTTGGGATCCCTGCAGGAGGTGAGAGATTTAGGGATCTACTGGGTGAACCAGGAAGTGGGGGGGACACAGAAGCAGGGCTGTGTCCGAGGGCGGGGGTGCCAGGATCTGGCTTGGTGGGGCGGTGTCAGGTGAGGGGGAGAATAGGAGATGGGCCAGGCTCTGGGAGAGGCAGGCAGCATTAAGCCTTCGCCGGGCCTAGATCTGGGGTTTTCCCCAGTGCTTCCCAGACTGCCAGCACATTTCTTAATCCCAGTGTCAGCCTTCCAAGAAGCCCCGCCTGCAGGTGGGACTCACTGGAAGAAAGAGCTACACCAGTGTCATTATTTTCTAGGAGCCGAGCCCCACCTTCAGGAAGGGGAGCATAAGCAGAAACTCTGGAGAGGCCCAGGGCTTGGTAGTTAGGCTGAGACTCTTCCCACCTGTCCCTGGTCCTCACACCCATCTCTTTAGCCATCCCTCTGCAAGATGACCTGGAATGCCAGTGGGCTGGGCACCAGCCAGGGGAGGCCAGGCCTGACAGCTCATTACCATGCGAGGGAGGGCAGTTTCTCTCCACCTCCCCTTTCCCTTCTCCTCCCTCCCTTGTCTTCTTCCTTACTGGCTCCTCTCCTGTAGGGCCAGACCGTCAACGGAGCCCAGCCCGGCTGATCTCAGACAGACACCCACTGACCCCCAGCATTTCCAGGAGCCCAGACACCGACAACCGACAGCCTATAGCCTACAGCCGAGGGAAGGCCCACTTGCTGCCTGCAGCCATGCCAGGCCTCAGCCTGGTCGTTCTGGGCCTGCTCATGGCAGTGCCCCCTGCCAGCTGTCAACAAGGTAGCACAGGACTGGGACTGGGTGCTGGTGACCCAGGGGTGTATGGGTGTCCTTGTCACTGGTTTGGAGGGGCAAACTGGGACTGGTCTAGCTGGAAGACCCTCTGGGCAGAGAGCACTGAGCCGGGCCAAGGTCTGTGCTCATCTATGAGGGAAAAGGGGCAGCAGACAACATTGGGGCTTGAGGGTGGAACAAGAGCTGAGACTCAAGCCCCGAGAGCAGGGGCTGCTCTAGAAATGGCTGGTCCTGAGGACAAGGGGTTGGGGGCCACAAGGAGGGGTGGGCATGGGCCCAAGGCACCCCTTAAGGGCAGGCTTGCTCCTTGGCCCACGGTTTTGACTTAAACTTTCTGGCCGTGGGATGGGAGCGGCGCCCACATGGTCCCACCAGGGACCTGAGCTTTTCATCCTCCCTGCCTGCTCTAGCTTGCTATATGGCCTTGAGCAAATCACTGCTCCTCTCTGGGGCTCCGTTTTCTTTTCCATAAAATGAAGACAATTGATCCCACTCCGGGCACCTCCCTGGGCTGCTGCGAGGTCCTAAATGTGGAGAGGCTTTGCACTTGGCGAAGCACTATACCCCAGTTCCAGCGTTTGCCCTGTGTTATCAGGCTGCACCTGCTGTCAAAGTCTACTGATTCTGTAGGGGGGACCTGGTCCTGGGGGCTGGCTAGGATGCTTCCAGAGCACCCCTCCTGAGCTCTCACGGTGTTTGCTTCTCCCAGGTCTCCCAGTCTTGGAAGTCAGTTCTCTGTGAAACTGACAGCCAGAGAGGTTGAGTGACTCACACAGGCCACACAGCTGTGCAGGGCAGGGCTAGATCATCTTTCTCCTGCCCAAGCTGGGCGCCTTCCACTATGTGCTCACCCAGAGCCACGTGGGAGGAAGAGTGGGGGACGGTGGCCCCTGGTGACCGGAGGGAGTTGGCTGCCCATCTGGAGGAAGCAGAGAGAGGCCTCTCAGGGCCTGAGCCCTAACCGGCAATGCTGAGCCACCTCTGACCTGAGGAAGCAATGGGTCCAAACCATTGCTTTTCCAGGGGAGACAATGACTCCAAAACACTGCCTCTGGCAGGTAGGAAACCAGGGAATCACCTTGGGTATCTCCTGCTGCCCCTGGATACAAACCAGGTCGGACTTGGCCACTGGCCAGAGAGTTCCCTGGCTCCTCCCCTGCCAGACTCGGAGCTCAGTGAAGAGCATGCCCCATGACTCGCCGCAGCAGGAGATACAGGGTAGACTGGAGGGAACATGTATGTCAGGGAGTGAGGCAGCGGAAGTTCATCTTTTTAATGTTGATCCATTTTCTTTATTTGGGATTGAGCATTTGTGTACACATGTGGGACTGTGGGAGACAGAGAGACAGAAAGAGAGAGAGAGAAAAAAAGAGATAGGTACCCTTCAGAGGGTCTGGGAGCACTGCGACTCCCTCCCTCCAGTCTTCCAGCCTGTCGGGTCTCGGGCATCTGCCTGCATGTTTCTGGCAGACCAGACCAGGGTGGCCACGTGAGATTTGGCCTTTCTCAAGCAGAGCGTTCCTGCTGCTGATGTTTCCTGATGCCAACGTGGGTCCTTCT